GCTGGTCTGGACCTCCAGGCCCTTGAGATTGGGCCGAGAGCAGTTCAGCCAGATTAGGGCCGAATGTGTGTTCCTCAGGGTGGCCTCCACCCAGGGCCTGTGAGCATGGTTGAGGCAAAAATGAAGCTGCTCCAGGGTCCTGGGGCCCCAGACAGGGAGCCAGGGCACAAGCAGGCATTCAGGGCCCGCTTCCTGAGTGAGAAGCAGGGACACTTGTAGGGTGAACCCCTAGGCCCCAGCAGCCTGGCTGGGAAAGCCATGTCCTTTGGGCATGTCTTAGCACTTCTCAACAGGTGTTCCTAGGTCAACCTTAGTTTTTCCCCCACAACAGCTGCCCCAGAGCCTGGCTGGACCTGCTCCCAAAGGGTCCTCCTGCCAATGGCAAGATCTGCCCTACCCACCCTGTCTGGCAGCCTCCAGGGAAAGGGCTTGGTTTGAAGACTTGCCCAGGGTAAGAGTGGATTCTTGGTCATGACCCGAGGTGGGAGAAACCATGATGTTCTGGCCAGAGTGCGTAGCTTCCTGGGAGGGCATCTCCCTCCTCCTTTCCTACCCTTCTTCAGCGTAAATAACCCAGGCCGCAGCCTGCTCCCTTGGCATTAACTAGAGGGGAATTTTTCTAGAGGATGAAGTTCCTGGGAAATGTCCACCCTTTCTCTCTTTTGTCTTATGACAAAAGCACTGCTAATAGGCCCCGCTTGACCTGGGACACTTAGCTGAGGGTTCCTGGGGTCAGAACTAGCTACATCAGAACATGGGTACATTGACCTTCCCCTCCTCTGGTGACAGTCCCATTAGGCCTTAGGCCGTCTGCTATCACTCATCCTTGTCATCCTTCCCAGGGGGAGGGCATGGCCCACTTTAGGGCTCTAGAGCCGGGAATAAGGGATCCTGTGCAGAACTTCTGAGAAAAGCCAGCCCGCCAAACTCTGGGGAGAGACCCAGAAAACAGAAGCTGTGGGCCTTGCTGGCAGCTTAAGCAGGGGACCGTCCCGGCTTGTCTCATCGATAGTGGGTTCAGACACGTCCCATTCCTCACCCTCAGACTCTGCCTCTCCCAACGTTGTTGACTGAGGTTTCCGGGTCCTATCTCCCATTGGGCCTTTCCGGCCTCAATTTACGCGTAGTGGGGGAGGAACTGGGCCACCCTAGTTGGTAAGGCCTCATCTTCAGACAAGGTCCTGAGGCCTGGAGAAGTGTAGCCCCCGACCACCTACGGTGGACTAACCCTGAAACCACACAGGCTTTCCCCGCACAGCTAGTAGTCCTAAGAGACCTGGAGTGGAAGGCTGGGCACAGTGGCTCATGCCTATAATCCCAGCAATTCGGGAGGCTGAGGCAGGAGGATTGCTTGAGCCCAGGCATTTGAGACTTGAAAGGGCCTCCCACAGGCTTTTGGAAGGGCTACCATGTATTCCCAGAAGTGGAGGAAATAGGTAGGCAGAGAGCACAGTCTGCTCAGCCTCCTATTTCTGCCTCTTGAAAGGGAAGATGGAGCCCCTTGTCTCTGCAGTGCCAGCCAGGACAGAAGCAAATTTGCTAAGTTCAGGCATTGGTCACACTGCGAAGACAGCAGGAAACCCAGCTCTCACACCTGCCTGTTTACTTCTTGTCCTACTGGGAATGGCCCAGTGGTTCGCCCACCCCTGGCTACGCTGCACGCTCTTCTGGGCCTGCCTCTGTCCTCTGACCGGTTGATGCTTTAGAGGAGGGAGACTCAGGTTCTGCCTGCCCCTAGCTACAGAGCCAGCAGTTTCTGCTGAGGTTTTGCTCCTCTGACATTCACACAAATAGGCAGAGGAGTCTGGGGGAAAGGTGGGGACAGGATTATACCCTTCACCCTTTGGACAGGATCATACGCTCTCCTACCTCTTTGCACCTCTGAGACCAGGAGTCTTGGGGAAATGAAAAGCGGAGACAGAATTCTGGGAGTTTCCTATGCCAATAGTGAAGGCTTTTTCCAAAAACACTCCTGGGCACTCAGAGGTGCTCCAGGGAAGGGAGTCTTCACAGCTCTACCTTTGTCATGACTTGTGGCTACAGATGGAGACTTCGACTGGGTCAAAGTGTTCCTTAAAGGGCCTCTTCTCACCTGAGTCCAACTACAGGGAGCACCTCTGAATGTCAGGGAAAACATTCACCCAATTCACCCAGCCTGCGGGCAGTGGCAGGCATATTCTTTTCCCTTTGGAAAAAACAGCTTATACAATGTGACTAGCAGGGCTTTCCTTGGGACTACCATTTCCTACTATCCGCCCCTCTCCAAAGTAAATAAATAAGTAAATTACATGTTTGGAATTGTTTTCCTGGGATTTTCCCTGCAGATTCAGTGATGGGAATCAGCATAAGAAGCAAGTTGTGAAACCCGTAAATCCCCACTGCATGGGGTAAATACCGCTGACAGATTTTCCTTCCTGGTATTCCTCCAGAGCATTCCTCGGATCCCAAGGCCCACCCTCACCACGCCTCCTCCTGGAGGAGAAGTTCTACAGCCTAGCCTATGCAATTCAAAGACCTCCACCAGTGAGCCTGTGGGCAGAGCGGGCCAAGGGGCTATGCCTCTTAGAATGTTTACAAGAGAATATTTACAAGTGAAAGGTCTGAGAGGTGCCAGTCCCCCTTTTTCCCCTCCCAGGCCACATGTCCTCCCCTGCGGACAGCCCAGGGTGCCTTCCCCAGCCATCCTTGACCAATGGCCCCATCGCCTATGGATGTTTTCTTTGGCATCTCTGCCACCTCCCCCCATCAGCTTGTTCAACGCCAAGTGCTTTACCCTCTCAAAAAGGAGCCTCAGCTTCTTTTCAAGGTCATGTCCCTCTTCCTTGTCCCACACCCACCCAAACCCAGTTAGGTTCCGTGAGTTATAATTGCAGTAAGTTGTTAAAAATTCAAACATCAACTCGCAATGGATTCTCTTTATATGAGTAAAGCACACACACTGTAGAGAAATCACCTGCTTCCCCCAGGTGTCCGCAATCTGTCCCACAGCTCTCTGCTGCCAGCCCTGTCCCCAGGTCACCCCTCTCCCATCTCTGCTCCAACCCAGCTGGCCACCTGACTATTTAGCCCCCCAATGTGCCCTGCCTCTGTTTCTTACATCAGCCTTTAAGAGCTGTCTGGTGTTGTAATCTGCCCGTTCCACCCCCACAGAGCCATCTTTGCCTCAAATCCTACTGTTCCTTTGAGGCTCACTTGAGCTTAGTCACTTCTTCCCTGAAGCCTCTAAGTTACACCCCATTCCTCCCCCCCAAAAAAACCTAGAAGGATCATTTCTCCTTTTGGCCCATGGGGAAGCTGAGGTCCTATATTTGTTGACTAAATTATTGCCTTCCTGAAGCACCTCTCTCCCTCTAATGTCTGAGTATGTATGTGTCGCCGTGGCATAGTCAGGGTACAGGGTCTGGTGTGCAGGTCTGAGCCTGCTTTATGAGAAGGGGCAATGAGCTGTTGCCCTGACAGCAAAGGCTGGAAGGAGTCCCAAAGGCTGTGGACCCTCCCTAGGGCAAAGCCAGGCTAGAGGGAAGGGGAGCCCAAGGCACCACAGACATGATCCACAGGGTAAGTGGTGGCTTGCCAGCCCACCAGCCTGGTAGGTGACATGGACATCCACAGGCAGCTGCAGGAATCCGGCAAGGAGCTGGGCTTCAGGGAGGCTGGGTCTTCCCCACCCTAGGGCAGTTCTCCTAGAGGCACACCCAGCGGCACACCTGGATTTTCTGTGCCTGTGTCCTCTCTGTGCCCACTGTGTGCAGGGCCACCCAATCTGGCCAGCCTGTGGAGTCAGGTCACCTGTGGTCCTTAGCTGTTGTGCTGAAGAATAGGCTGGGTCCTGGGCAGGGCCAGGTACTGCTGCCGGGGGCCCCAGGTGGCCTCTGTCCTCAGGATTTTGCACCGTGATATTTGGGTTTAAGAAGTCAGTTGATAGTGCCAAGTCTGGTGCCCTCGGAAATGTTCTGGATTCTGTCCTAAGGAGGTCCCTGTCACCATTTCTTAGGCACTGCCTGTGCTGGGGCAGAGGGGGCCTTACTCCGGTTCTGAGCTCCAACCCCACTCTCACCTGCCAGCCATCTCTTGAGCCTACCACCCCTAGCCCTCACCCCATCCTCAGGGCTGCTTATCTGCTACCCTCTGATCCCAGACATGAAGAGTCTCGGGAGCAGGAGCCTCTGATGGGGCGGGTATGCTTGCAGACGGCAGTTGAGAGTGCCGGGCAGGCTGTCCTCCCATCAGGAGCCTCATCTGCTCTGGGATGCTCCCGGTAGCTCATTTTCTCCAAACAGCAGGTGACTGTCCCATAAATGGATGGGGACCAACAGAGTCCAAGGTACCCTGGGATCAGTCCATTCTCTGACCAGATGGAACTGGCCTGTGTCCTGTTTTAACCTCTGAGAGTATCTAGTGGGCAGAATGGGGGTGGAGTTGGTGGGTGAGCTGTACAAATGCTCTACTCAAACCATCTCCCACCTGCTTCCCTTCTCTTCCTTGTGGTGCTTCACTGAGGGGCAGGCAGAATCCAGGAGCTGTGCACCCGTGGCCCATGAGGGCTCCCATGCTATTGCATGGAGGCACCCTGGTAGCATTGCCCACAGGTGTGGGTGCCTTAGGAAACAGAGATTGCAGAGTTCAGAGTGGATGGGTCCTCTCCCCAGAGGGCTCTCTCTGCTGGAGCCCTAGATGAGGCCGGGGATAGTGTGGGCTTCTGGACAGCAGAGACTCCTTTCTCTGAAGGAAGGGAGGGATAGTCCTTCATCAGAGGGAAAGCTGCTAGAGCCCGTTGGGAGGATTCACAGCTCTGAGTGAGTGGGGCCCAGAGCCTGGCTCTCCCTGGCCTTCCTTGAAGAAGCCTCCTTGGAAACTCACTGGAAGCCTAGGGGTGGGCTGAGTCATCCTTGTTGTAACCCCCCGCCCCCCCCCACCCCACTGGGCCTGAGAGTGAGAAGTAGCCACAGTGCTGTCCTGGGGCAGAGTTAGGGAAGCATCTCTTGCTGTGCTCTCTCTAGGCCTGCTACCTGTGCCACAGCCTTCTGACATTGGCCGGCGTGGTGGTCAGCTGCCAGAACATTACTTCAGACCAGTGGGTGAGTCTCTTAAGGGACAGGGACGAGGGTGCCTCGCTGTGTCTTCACCAAGGGTGGGCCCAGCCCACTATCAAGAACTGCAAAGAGTGGGAGGCTGAGAAGGAACTGGCCTATGGGCCAGGGCCTCTTCCTTCCCACAGTCCCACGAGCCGTTCCCAAGGGATACTGACCCATGCCCCCAGCAATGGCACTGGCCCTCTTCTCCTGTTCCTGTTCTACTTCTGAGCAGTCACTCTGACGTGCCCGGCCCTTTCTCGGCCTTTTCCTCCCCCTGCCTCCTTTGGCTGTGCCTGGCCCGTGCCACACCCTCTCCCTCAGCCTCCACGTCCGCCTCTGCAGGGTCAGCTGCAGCTGCTGTGCATGCAGTTGGACCGTCACATCGGCACCCACATCCGGGAGAGCCCCCAGGCCATGCACCGCACCATACTCAAGGACCTGGCCACCCAGACCTACATCCGTTGGCAGGAGCTGCTGACCCACTGCCAGTCCCAGGTGGCACCCCCTCCAGCCTCCAGACCTGGGAGGGGAGGGAAGTGGTCAGGCAGGGCTGACCAGAGCCAGCAGCGTGTCCACCCCCGCTGCAGCTGCTGAGCTCCTGGCCGGGACATGGGTGTGGAGGGCAAAGTGGGGGAGGGAGGGGATACCTCGGGGGCCCTTCCTCATTCTTATCAAGAATCCGATGCTCCAGCTTGGCTAGGATGAGGGGACACAAAGAAGCCTACTCCTGAGCAAAGGCAAAGAAAAACAGCCTGGAGTGGGAAGAGCCGGGGCGGGGAGTACCAGTTTGTCACGAGCAGTGCCTGGAAGGGACACAGAAAGAGTACCAGAGGCACCAGCTGTCCACCGTCTGCCCACTTGTCCTGCAGGCCTAAGGCTGGCCTCCTACTCTGTTAGGAGGAATGTTCCCGGGCTGCCCTGGTCCCCTCCAGCTCCCAAATTTTCTCAGACCCTCTAGGTATAATATCCATAGCTAATATGAATTGAAGACCCATTTCTGTGACAACCCCCAGGTACAGTTAGGAGCCCCTTTTACAGATGAGCAAACTAACCAGAGGCGCTGAGAGGTTAAATGGCTTGCCCCGTCACGCAGGAAGCGCATGTGAATGTCAGAATCAGGGCCCAGAGCCAACCTGACTCCCAAGCTTGGCCACCTCACTTCAGTCCAAGCCCTACTCTGCCGGCTTCCCTTCTGGCCTCAGTGTCTCCAGCAAGGAAGGGAAGAGCTTGCAAGCAACACCGCACTGGGCTGCTTGAGGGCTCTTCCCTTCCTGATCCCCCAGCCCCTGATGGAGACTAACAGAGCCTGAGGAGAACCGTTCCGCCTGCCAGTGCTCCTCAGCTGTCAACTTGCCTCTTCTCTGACTCCTCTCTTGTCCTTCCCCCTGTAACCTCTGACTTGGGGCTGACACATTGGCCACAGGCTGTGGCTTGGGTCTCAGATTTCGCAAGTCTCTGAGAAAGCTGGAGAGCAAACCTCACCCTCAAGCCCCAAGGAACTAGATCACACTAGTCTCTGGCGGGAAGCAGTGTGTTTGTCATGAAAAGAAGGAAAAGTGACTTGTGGCCTCCAGGAGCCAGAGTGCTGGCACCGCCGTCCTTTCACACTCCCTGGGCCTGCGGGCAGTGAGTAGAGGGATCCCTGCAGACCACTTGATGGTCAGGCGGCCTGTTGGCCAGCTGTGCCCTCACTGGACCTGTGGACCCTGGGAGTGTTGCCCGCTCAGCGCCTGGCATGGAAGAGGCCTGTGATGGGTGTTGAGTGGTCGCTGCAGTCCAGGGAGCTCAAGGCAGCAAGCAACCCTTGGGCCCAGACCATCTCAGCCTGCCCTTTCCCTTGCTGCAGGCCCAGTACTTCAGACCCTGGAAAAACATCTAGAGGAGCGGGCGCCCAGCAGTCCTGGGCTCAAGGAACTCGAGAAAGAAGCAAGGCCAGAGGAGGCCCAGATGCTAACCAACCTGATAAATCCACGGCCTGCCCCTGGCCCCAACCCTGCATGAGATCAGCCTCTCCTGGCCTGGCCCACCCCTTAGCTCTCCTCCCCTCCCGGCCATCTCCTCTTCCCTAAGGTCTTTGTCTCCATAGCTCTGGTTTCTCTGGGCCTTCTGGGCCTCTGTCCTCCCCACCCTCCTTCCTCTCTCTCTCTCACTAATGTAAGGTTTCTTTGTGCACATTAAAGTCTTATTTCAGCATCAGTGGTTGAGAAGACTTCCTTCAATCCCTGTCCTCAGGGCTCGTGCCCAGTGTCCAGTCTCCAGATCCCTCTGCTAGTGTTCCACTGAGTTCTCACCTCAGACAGTTACGGGCCTGGGGCCCGGGCCTCGCCCCTGAAGCACAGGGCTGTTGATCTCCAGGGAGGAGCGTTTATCCCTGTGGCCACAGTGTCCCCAGAGCTGTCAGAAACCCAGGAGCGAGGCACATTTGTTTTGACCCAGTCTGGGACCACTCCTCACTCCCCGCCCCTGCCGGGGAGGATACACCGAATGAAATGGCAGATTAAGGCTGTAATTACACTTAATTCAGTTTATTGTTGAGTTCTGAAAGCAACTCCCCAGACTTAGGTGTGGGGGTGGGTCCAAAAGACAGTTCCAGATGCTGCTTTTGGTTTCCCTGGAACTTGTTCCCTATCAGTTCACGGGACCTGGTTCCTAATAGAGTACTGGGTATCTTTGGCCTGAACCACTTGAGGAGTGAGAGGGCCCCTGGGCGTCAACTCTGTCCACTCCTCCAACCTTGAGAATCTCTATCTAGTCTCTGACCTCTCCTGACTTTCTGGGTTGGGATGGGGTTTTGGAGGGGGCACAAGAGGCAGCGAGGCGCGGCAGAGGATTATCCCTGCCAAACTGGCTTGCGCCCACTCCTCAGCTCCACCCTGAATGTCTACCAACGGAATGTCCCCATGGCCGCCGCATAGAACTTTCTCGGTTTCTGTCAGACGTCTCCTTTGCTTTCATGCACAGGAGTAGGGTAAGGCAGGAGCACTAGGAGAGAGAGTCCCCCAAAATAAAGGGCCTTCAGGCTAAGTGACCCAGTGTGCAGACCCCAAGTGGAGCGTATCACTTCCTGGGCCTATTTTAGACATGGCTGCTTCCCTCACTGGGTCGCCAGGAGGCTAGGAGCCGGGGGCATCTATTATTCAGAGGGTACAGGCACATGGACGGCACAGTGCTAGGTACCGTACAGGACAGCTTTCTGCCTTGCAGCCTTTGCCAGATGAGAGGGGGGAAGAAAACCTTGGCCAGGCTGACTTGGATGCCCAGGCAACTTGACTGAGAGTTCTGGTTTCCGTTCCTGGCTGTGTCACATGCCCCCTTGGCAGGAGCCCCACTGGAGCCCCAGCAGCATCAGGTCAGCCTCAGATTCTCCGATAAAAGAGTGGGGACTCTGGTGAGCCAGCCTCCTTCACCTTCCCTCAGGGGTACCTCTGCCTCTGACATTGCACATCCTGACAGTTAATCTTCAGCTTTTCAGTTTTCTCTGGAAACCTGGAAATCACCTTTGAAATTTCCCTTCTTTGTTCTTACTGCCAAGGGCAAAGAAAGTAGGGAGGCCTGAGAGGCTGAACCAGGGAGTTTCCAGTTCACATAGCCAGCCCTACCTGGCTCTGAGAAAGGGACCGAGCTGTCCATTAGCATAGACATCTGGAGCCCTTCTCCTCAGCCCTGGCTCTTGTTCTCTGTCCCCTCCTCCCCTGCTCCCCAAACACACTCACCCCCGAGAGAGAAATAGATACCAAGGGGAGAGGAGGTGTCGGTGACGACTCAGTCCCTCCAGAGACCTGGCTGTAACCTGAGCAGAAGTGTGCACTGCAAGGTCACCCAAGGGCGTAGACTATCCCCTGGGGCATGTAATGGGCCCTCTCTGGGACTGGCTGGGAGCTGACCAGATCTTCCAAAACCAGTCTGGGATCAGTTCAACACTCAGCTTCCTCAAGGCCAAGAACTCCACAGTGGTGCAGGCTGTTTTACCAGTTGCCCTGCTGGTCTTTGACCTTTCCAGATCCCTAGGCCCCTGGGAAAAGCTGGGGGATATCCTGATAGGAGCCACTGGAAAAATGGCATCCGGGGCTGTGATGACGGATGTTTTCCTGCTTCCTTTTGGTGATGGTGGCGGGGAGGGGCTGGGAAGGGAAAGGCTTCCCAGGTGGACAGCTTTGATAATTCCTTATTTGAGGAAGTGGAGAGAGGTAATCCGTTTCCTATATCCCCAGTCACCTTGGTCCCCGGGTCCTCAGAGGAACCTCGTGAGCAGGGCTGATCCAAGCTTTTTCATGTCCCCTTCTATGGGTTGACAGCAGCTCCAGTGTTGACCAGTGTTGACCAGAGAACCCAGTGTGCACCCTGGGCCTCCCTCTGGCTGGAAAGCTGCCTTGGGAGAGCTGATGGGCAAGTGGCAGAAATGAAGGGCACCATGGCCCATGACCTATGTGCAAGAGAGAGAGAGGATTTGCTTTTCATGTAAGACTCCTGGGCCATCTTTGTAAGCTAGCTTGAGCTGCCAGTGGATCCTTGGAGAAGCCTCGGGAGGCATTTAGCATAATTTCTGTCTTTCCTTGACTTGGCCACAAGCACTTGAGCAAACGGAGGGTCTGACAAGACCTGAGCCCTGAAGGATGGATACCTTCCATAGACGATGCCAGGCAGGCCCTACGAGACTAGACTGATATGTGAGCCTTTCTTTTCCCCGGTACCTGTATTAGTAATTTTTTTTTTCTTTCTTTCTTTCTTTTTTTTTTTTGATTTGGAGTCTTACTCTGTCACCCCGACTGGAGTGCAGTGGCCGCTCCCGGCCACTGCAGCTCGACCTGCTGGGCTCCGGCGATCCTTCCGCCTCAGCCTTCCAAGTAGCTGGAATTACAGGCATGCGATACCACGCTCGGCTGATTTTTTGATTTATTGTAGAGATGAGGTCTCGCTGCCCAGGCGGGTCTCGAACCGCAGGCTCAGGCAATCCACTCACCTCAGCCTCCCAAAGGCGCGGGATTACAGGCTGAGCCACCGAGCCCGGCAGTAATTTTTTTCTTAATTGAAGACCCAGGAACCCTCACTTTCAGTCAGTTGTGCTTTTATTTAAAAGTATGCATCATGAGCCAGTAGTCACGCGGGAAACTTTATCCTCTGCCCACCCACCCACAGTAAAGGCCAGTGCTGGGAATGGACAGAATACAGCTGGAAATGCATGAATGCAGGAAGGTGACAGGAACAGAACCTCATAGCTGAGGAGGCTTTGCAGGGAAAGGCTCATGGAGTCTGTTGACTGGAGGGTTCTGCATCCCTGGCCTAGGGAACCCAAACACCTATCACTGAGGTGCACAAGAAGACTGTCCCTGCCAATGAAACCAAACCGTCTTTTGAAACTTTCCACTGGGGCCGCCTTGGAGGCAGAACCAGGGAGCTCAGGTCTCTGCCTGGTAACCCTCACACCTGGAGGCTGGGGGCGGGTCTTGAAGGTGAGGAAAAGCAGCAGGAAATGGAGCACTGTAAGGATATAGGGTGACTTTGTGGAAAGACAGAACTGGGAGTCCCAAGACCTGATTTAAAATTCTGACCTTTCTAATTACCTGTGTGACTCGGGGCCATTCTGATACTCATCCACAAAAGGGCACAAACAATACTTGCTTTTTAAAGGGTGGTCATGAGAGTGGAGTGAGAAAATGTATGTGAAAACAGGTTACAGTGGCTGGTGCCTATAATCCCAGCACTTTGGGGGGCTGAGGGGG